AATGCATAATCATCATCATACCAAAACTCTTGAGTGATTAACTAGTGTTTTGATTTTGCAGTGATATCATTGCATGTTGTACATACTCAATGTTACTACTCCAAATCAATTTCTATATACAACATGGGAAAAGTAATTACTAGGGAAAATGGTACAAATATAGATCCTCATTTGGTCTTCTGGTACAGAAAATGGCACTTAACATCTTATTCCTTCATTAACTGATAAATGAATATGTTTATATAGTTGCTCACAGGTTTCAAAACTCATTTGACTCACATAACAGTGCCATGAGATAGGAAAGATAAGTTTTGTTCCCACTTTACAGATGACAAAACAAAACCTTTATAAAGCAATTACCACTGAATAGAGACAGAAATATTAAGGAATCAGGGAAGATAAAGGAGGAAGGTTAATGAGGTATGTGGAATTGTTGGACTCAGTGGTGTATTAATGCACTTGTGGATTTTGGCTTGTTGATTTATTTTTTAAAAAAATCTCATAGGGTAACCCTCAGGGAAGGCAAAACACACTGTGCTCAGTTCCGTCCCTGATACATTTTGATCTAGGTGAAATCAAATAAAAAATTACCTTTAAAGATCTCTTTGAATGATAAAGAACAGCTCTGTAGGTTTTGAAAAATGAAGGATGGCCAGTGTCATCACTTTTTAGTCTTTTTTTCATTAGAATGAAATCTACTTGACAGCAAATATTAATTTTCTACTTACATTACAAATCTCCAATATCTTAACCAAAAAAAATTAGAAATCAACCTCTTTGCACACAATCCACATTATTATAACTTTAACTCAACTCTTGAGGATTGAGGATTCATGACCCTAAGGTGAACTGGAGTGGTGGTTTCCAGCCTATGCTTAAGGAAGACCCCAGCAGCAAGCAGGGGAGGGAGAAGGGAGAAAGAGCAGTGTATCAGCAGGTATTTGAAAAAAAGGCCCAAGGCTTATAGGTAAGCAGTCAATAATCCTTCCATTATTACCAAGAAACAGTGGTGACACTGACCATCCTTCATATTGCAAAAACTCCTACACAGCTGTCCTTTATAATTCTAAGAGATCTTTAAAAGTAATCTTTTACTTGATTTCACATGGCTCAAACTGTTCCAGGGAGGGAGGAAAGGAGAGGAGTACACAGTGTGATTTGCCCTTCCTAGGGGTTGCCCTATAGGATTTTCTCTTTAATAAGCCAAAATGGTATTTATTAATTCACAGTGGGGGGTGTGTGTGAAAGGGTTGATATTTCCTTATGTAAAATGAAATGTCAAGGCCACCATTTGGGCACCCTGGTCCCAGTAATGAGGTACCTGGGAGGCCAAAATTTTACCAGATATTTCCTTTGTGAGCAGAGAATGCAATGATATTTTGCTAAGAAAAACTTGAGAACATTTTCAGAATTGGGTCCTTGAGCTTGGGGTGGGGAAAAAGGAGAGAAAAGCCTTGTATTTTTGAGTGATGATCATTAAGAACTTTTTTGAAAGGCTACCTCAATTTTTTTATGTGTATGTTTAATTATGACAAATCACTTACACAGTGATTTATTAAGTTTATATAAATATCAGAAAACATTTTGAAAGGGAAAGCTCGTTTCAGATGTTACCATGTTCTAGTAATTATAGATGATTTAATTTCAAAGTATGGTGCCAAGATGAAAGAAGAGATAAGGAAACATCGTCTATTTTCATGTTTTTTTTATCTTAGTCTTGTTCTACATCACAAAAAAACCAGTATCTACTAAGGAGACTGTCAAGTCCAACACACAAGAACCTGCTTACACTATTCAGATATGGAAAATTCAAGAGTAAAATACTCTGAACAAACTATCTACATTAAAGCTTCTTGATTGGCAGATCTTCCTAAATCCCATACACTAGAGTACTTAATAGAAGGTAGCCCCATTATTTCACTCATGTAGTAGCTCCCATCTGCCAAGTAAATTGTTGATTTGTGCTTAATAAGCCAAATATGCATAAATTATTTTTAATTACATAAAGCCAGGTGCTAAATTTAGGTGCCAGAGAAAAGTCATCACCCTTATTATTCCTGCTTTAACCATCTTAGGGTTCTCTGTTGCTCCAATTCCATTATTAGAATTAAAAAAAATTAAGTCAACCAACTTCACCAAATCCACAGCTATTGCTGTTGCTGATTGTCAATTACCACATGGCCAAAAAAATGAAATCTTAAAGAAAGCACAACTATTAACATTTCTAGATGGTCATTATCTTTTCTTCATCAAAAAAATGTATAAACGAATCTTTTAAAGGGGTAGCACATAACACTGGATTTTAGCAAACAAAATGGAAAAGACAAGCTTATGCTGGCACACAGTCAAACTCCCATGAGAGCTAATCCAAATGTGGATTTGTGGTTAAAGCACAGGAAAGCTCTTGGCTTCAGAATTTTAAGTAAGAATACAGTAATTGAGCAGCCATAAAAATAAGACCACACTTTTGCTCTGGACCAAAAAGAATCAAACAAACCTTAAAAACATCCCTTTGCTCCATTCTGATCCATTTCATTTAATTTACATGAAATACAGTGGCAGCTCTCACTGGTAATTTCAAGCATCTCGACAATACCACAGGTAAAACAAACATGCGGCGATACGAACTGACCACAAAGATGAGCTATGGCTATTCTCAACATACATGTATGGTAGAAATCCTGGTTTATTCCTTCAGACAAATCCTCTCTTATTCTAGAGATATGGGGCTAGAGTGAATGTGAGTGGGTGAGATAGAGATAAGAAACTGGTGCAACTGATCCATGCTTTAAGAAAGGATGTCAAATGAAAAACCACACACAGAAAACAAGGAGTAATTATTTAAAGGGACTGTGCAACAAGTAAAAAACAATATAAATACTACATAACAGTGATTTGAGTCTCAAAAATCTAATTTACCTATTACTTTCAGGAACACAGCTGTACAAAGTGAAATATACTTCTTTGGTAAATGTGGACAGGAACACCAGAAAATTCTGGTCACGTAAAATTATGGGGAACCAAAATATTATGCTATAACACTGGGCTGTAAAATCTATTTTAATATATTGTGATGTGTTTTGAGTGGACTCAAGTGGGTAAATTACATCACTGGGTAATTATGAACATTGAATCTCAATTTTTAATCTGCAAAATACACACATCTATTAAATGGAACGACTCCTCTGCAAAATAACTTATAATTTTTGAACATCAGAAAATGACAAAATGTCAAGTTTAATGAGGCAATTTTTGTTGCCATATTTTCAAGAGGTCCTTTTTAGAAGTTGGATAGGATGAACATGTCTTGCAAGAACTGAAAAACAATGTCCCATAGAACCTCAGAATTTTCTCCACACAGGGGATGTCTTGAAAAGAAGGAAATAACAGCACATGTTCATCACCATCCTAACAACACACATGGATTTGGCACTTACTATCTTTTGTCCTCTCAACTCTGAGTTAGACACCATTTAACAGAAGAGAAAAAGCAATGTTATCTCCTCCATGAATCTTTAACCAATCCTTTAGTTATTTGGTTCTAATTGCAATTTGCCTGGTTTAGTCGTTCCTGGTTATAATTTGCCCGGTTTACTGGTTACTTCCCCTAAACCTGACCCTCTGCCACTTATCCAGATTATGAGTCCTTGGGGGGTGGGTATAGCTCAAGTGGTACAATGTATGCTTAGCATGTATGAGGTCCTGGGTTCAATCCCTATTACCTCCTCCAAGAACAATTAAGTAAACCTAATTACCATTCCCACCCCCTCCCCGCCAAAAAAAAACCCCCACCAGATTATGAGCCCTTCAAAGGCAGAAAACCGAATCTTAATTATCTTTGTACCCTAGGATTCCACATGACACATAGCAGGTACATAGGGCTGAATACATGGAATAATTTGCCTAACATCAATCATTCAACAAGAGATTAGGATGGGTCTAAAATGCAGAATTTTGGATTCTTCCTGTTATATCTCGCTGCTGAATTAAGCCTGGTCCATAACTTAAAGGCCACAATACCAAACCAGAAATTGTCATGAAAAAGAGCTCTGGCCTCCCCAAGGACCAAAAGTTTGAATGCCCCTGCCCAAGACGATTGGACTCAAAACAAGATTCCTTGGAGGCTTTAAACACTAGACCAGGAAAGAGTTCTTGATTTGTAAATCAAAGAAGGGAAGGCAGGATGGATTAGGCGGGAAGAGAAACTTCCGTTTGTTTAATTGGTTTGCTTACAACCTTGGCTTTGAAAGAAAGGGCAGCGCCAAACACTCAAGAGAGAAATTAATTACGACAGTTACTCTGAGAGGGGATCCCAAGGATGGGAAAACTTGGAGGCAAAGAGAAAGATACTAAATCGGGAGGGGTCAACAATTCTGAGACCTACCCCTTGCCCTCTCCCCGCACTCCTAGCCTCCTCCAGACTCCGTAAATCCCTCATTTTACGCTGATTCCTCTAATTTGATGCCGATCCCTGGAGATATGATTGGAACTCCTCCCTTTCTCCTCAACATCACACTCCCCACTCCCGCCGCCAACACAATTACACCCCAAGAGTGATGATTATCGATGTGGGGGGTGTGAAAAAAGTTAAGTCCATAACTGCGAACTGGCCACAGTCACCAGCCTAAATGCGACCTGTTCCTGTCGAACGCTTGTCCCCAGCCCCCTCCCCCATGGGAAGCTACAGGGCAGGTACTCTGCCTCAGAAAGAACCCCTCCTTTAACTCTGATCCTTTTTTGGCCTCAGAAAGAACCCTTCCTCCTTTTCCCTGTCCCACCCAAAGAGCGACTGCTGGTCCAGGGAGGCGTTTTCAAGACTCGGGGAGGGCGACGGGAAGGTGGTGGCGGGAGAGGAACCCCAGTGTCCCCCACCCAGGGTTTAGGATCGGGCAGCCGGCGGCGGGCGGCGACGAGTAACTGTTCCCTCACCACCTTTTAGGTCCTAGCGAACACGGCCGCGAGGCCAGGAGTAGGGCGAGGAGAGGATGGCTACAGCTTACCTGTGAGCCCCCCGCCGCCTTCCTCCCCGTAGCCCCGACGCCGCTGCAGCACGAAGTAGTCGTTGGATCTTTCCATCAGCCACAGCTTCAGCGCATTTTTCAGGAGCACTTCCTCGGGCTTCAGCCACATAGCGAAGAACTTTGTGCCGCCCGAGAGCGGCGACCCAAATGCCCTCCTCACCTCACCCCTCCACCCGTTTCTTCCCCTCTACTCCTCCCACCAAATCTACCCCAGACGACAGCCGCTCAGCTTCTGGTTTTCCACGCTTCCCCCAACCCTCCCTTCTCTCCCACGTAGGCAGCGAGACTGCCAATTCCCTCCCACAGCGCTACCGCCCGACGGGGAAATAGTCCCGTTCCTTTCCCTTCTGGGTATTGTAGTTTTCTGTCCGCCTTTCTGTCCGCAGGCACCTGGAGCGTAGGACTACATTTCCCACAATCCACTGGGGGTGAGAGTTGGGTGGGAGTGCTCTCAAAGCGGGTCCCGCCACCAGTTAAGTGGATTTTTGCCTATCGAAAGTTTAAAGCGGGTTTTTTTTTTTTTTGGTGCAAATAAGTGAGCCCCAGGGATAAAAGTGTTGCTTCTTCTCATCGTTTTACAGCCGAAGGTGTTAAACTGTAGAAAACAAAGTTTCTGGAATTTGGGAGTGACGAACGGCCATTCTGGGAAGGAGCAGCAGCCGCAAGTAACGTTTAATGAGCTCTTACTATGTACTATAGTGATTTTACGTACAATATCTCACGTAATCCTTACAGAAGTCTCACAAAGTAGGTCTTATTCTCCACTTTGCACATAAATAAACAAATGCACAGGCGGGTTAGGTGACTTATCCAAGGTCACACTGATTCCTTGCCGGATTCAAAATCTTTCTTAGATTAAGCTCTTTCTGCCCGTTCAGGAAGAATATAAAATCTCCAGAAGCCACACACTGTTTTTCACGCCGTGCGCTCCTCCCTTTCCTAACTTGTTTCTTTAACTACTGTAATCAGCCACAGAAAACGTCTCGTCCAACTTCGCTTTACAGGTTCTAAACAATTTATGAGCAATTTTTTTTTCTGAAGCACTTTAGGGGGAAAAAAAATCCCTTTCAGGGCAACCTGCACCACTTTGTACCTTGGCAATGATACACAGCTGCTTGAATACTAAGATGAATGAGGTCAGTGGTTTGCGAGACATCAATGCGAGGAATTATTTGAGGGACGTTTTAACTAACTGCGGTTAACTAAGCTCACCAGAATTAAAGAGTGCGCTAAAAGCGAAAACAAGCTTATAGGAAGGAAGGAGTTGGGAGGCGTGTACGAAAACCAAGGGGCGTTTGGCAAGCTGTTTTGATAATGAAGCTTCAAGGATCCGACTTAAAAAAAAAATGGGGTGGGTCACACCCGGATGCCAAGTCGTGGAGCCAAATAACCCTGCCTTGGAGAAGCGTCTCTGGCTTAACCCTCCCATAATGTTGGCCAGCTCAGAAGAGGCAGGCATGTGCTACAAGTAGGGATTTTTTCTTGTTGGTGAGAAAAGGGTCAAATTGGGATTCTCTTCTACTAAAATGCAGTCATTAGTCCCATGGTAGCTTTCTGCAGAGGATGGGAAGAGGCAGTCTTCCAAGAGCCCAAACTGCAATGTATCCTTGGGAAAAGCCATCCTAATTTGGGATGTGTACTAAGGAAGATATTTTCTCATCTTCCTGGTGAAAGATCAGTAAATTTGGCAAATGTAGAGATATGTGAGGTTTTATCTTTCTTTCTTCTTACCTCCTTCCCCTTTTTATTTCCTTCCTCATCAAACCACATTCTTTTCCAATACCTTTAAAATTTAGAGTTGTGGCAAGGGCTGTCCAGAACTCAATTGTTCCTCTGCCTCTTTAGTCTGCAACTCCCTTCAGATGTACCCACATGCTCCCTGTTGTAGAATCAGACCCACTTTTGGCTCAGAGCAGGGCATTTAGAGAGCTCCTGTTGTAGTAAACAAACATTTCATTGATTGTTTAAAGAAAACACTTTAAAACTACTCCTGTGATACAACATTTTAACTTGATCATGAACTATATTTCAAGCCTGTGCAAATAAAAGTATTTTTCTGCAAGTGCCTTTAACAAAAAGGAGTGTCACTCAGTTGTGTATGTCAATGTATGTTGTTTTTAGGGAAATGGAATTACAAACTGCCTTGGATATCATTGCTAGCACTGTGCTGGTAATATCTATGTCTATCTATGTATATATAGTCATTTAACCCTCATTAATACTTTTGTACATTTTTACATCCTTACTTTGCACGTGAAGAACAGGAGGCTCAGAGAGGTTACGTAACTTGCCTAAGTTCACATAACTAAATAAATGGCAGAGCTGGGATTTGAACCTAGATTGTCTGACTACAAACCATGACAATGTACTACCTATGAATATGGTTTATAGATACCTCAAACATGTCCAAAGCCAAACTTATTTCTCCAACATCCCCCTGCCCAAAATTATTTCTCCTACTAGGTTCTCATAGTTCAGAGCATCACTATTTACCAAGATGCTTAAGCTAAAAATCTTGGAATAGTCTTTTTTTCACATTAAAAAAAATTGAAGTATAGTTGATTTACAAAATTGCTTTAGTTTCAAGTGTACAACCAAGTGATTCAGTTATATTTCAGATTATTTTCCATTATAGGTTATTACAAAATATTGAACATTGTTTCCTGTATTATACAGTAAATCCTTGTTGCTTATCTATTTTATGTATAGTGATGTGTATCTGTTAATCCTATACTCCTAATTTATCCCTCCCTCCCTTCCATTCCCCTTTGGGAAAAGTTGGTTTTCTAAGTCTGTGAATCTGTTTCTGTTTTATAAATATATTCATTTGTCTTATTTTTTAGATTCCTCATACAAGTGATATCATATAATATTTATCTTTATCTGACTTCACTTAGTATGATATTCTTAAGGTCTGTCCATGTTGCTGCAAATGGCAATATTTCATTCTTTTCTATGGCTGAGTAATATTCCATTGTGTATATATATACACACCACATCTTCTTTATCCAGTCATCTGTTGATGGACACTTAGTTTGCTTCCATGTCTTGGCTATTGTAAATAGTGCTACTATGAACACTAGAGTTCATTAAGGAACCTTGGAATAGTCTTAAACTCTCACCACCTCCACTGTCACACACACACACACACACACACACACACACACACACACACACACCCTACTCTTTTTTTCAAAAGTCCACACACACACACACACACACACACACACACCCTACTCTTTTTTTCAAAAGTCCAAATCCTCCTTTTATCACTTTAGATAAGCCTCACATCACTTTCCTACTACACTGTTGTAATAACTTCCCAACTCATCTGTCTGCTTCTATTCTTGTTTTCTGATTTATCCAAGCCACATATGTATGGACACAAAGTTAAAGCATGCAGAGATGAATAATACCTCATTTATCCAGAGGTCAGTCTTCCAGCTGACTCAGCCTTGTAAATCGTAGTTTCAAACACCTATGTGAAAGGTACTGGGAAACCTCAAATAGCAATTCCAAACCCTGTGCCATGGAAAGGCTGAGGCTTTCACTCAATATTCTACTGGATTCTTATTTGAAATGAATTTCACAAGCTGAGTTGATGCTTTACAGTCTACAGCAGGTTTAGAAACAGTAAGATTCAAAACAGGTGGAGCACTACTAGAGGCGAGCCATCTAAAACTTTACTGCTCAAAATACATTCCCGGGACCAGCGGCATTGGCATCACCTGGGAGCTTGCTACAAACTCAGAATCTCAGAGTTCATTCCAGACCTGCTGAATTAGAATGTGCATTTTAACAAGATCCCTGGGTAATTTGTAGGCATATTAAAGTTTTAGATGCACTGATTGAAAGCAAATTAGGTATTTGAAAATCAAAGTTTACAGCAAATTGGGGGGTGATTAATTATGTTTCCATGAAGAGCTACATAAGCATCTTTTAAAAAATAAGCTCTATTATGCTGTACACCAGAAATTGACACAACATTGTAAGCTGACTATACTACAATAAAAAAGAATGCAAAAAACAAGCTCTATTGATGAATTTTAGATGATTGAATTGCCTTTTTTTAAAAGTTCATATCAGGAAATTCCCATTAAAATTTTCTAAGGAAATGGGTCAGAACTAGGATGTCAGTTCGAGGAGAAATGGCCATTAACTATCCATGCTAAGCCCTACTTCTATCTACTGCTCTTTAACCATCCAAATCTAGGCCTGTCCACAAATGTCTCACATTCATGAGCTTGTATGTTTCTGGAGAAAAAAAAGTTAAGAACTAGTGGGTGGTGTTTTTCAAACTTTTCACTGAGTTACCTCTAAGGCAGAGAAGAATGAACATTTTTCTTGGAGGTCCAAGTACCCACCATAATCATGAATTTCATTTAAGTCTCATGTAGCATGTAAATCTAAATTTTATACTGTTTAGTATGTTTTTAAATATTTTAAAATTCCACTCCAAAAAGAAGCAGCAATGAGTAAGGCAAATAACTCAAAATTTGCTATAATCTAAAGTGATAAAATTTCTCCAAATATTATAGAACTTAATTAAAATATTTAGTAAATAAACCAAAACTAGATGTGGGGGGTTGGGGAGGAGAACTATTCTTAGCAATCCAATTATATCTTTAAACGTATTTTTGCTGATTTACCTGGGAACCATGTATATTCTTATGTATAAGATAATACAACCTGACTTCTAATCTTACAAATGAACTCTGAGAAAACCCCTCTTTAAGTTGAAAACTACTATACACAGAGGTATATCTACTGCCACTGTTAAAGGAATCAGCTTATATTTTATGTGAAAGTAATAAAATCTGTTGCTCAAACTCTTTATTATCAAAAGATAATAGCAGGAAGAAAATTCACAAGTGACGTAGAATTCCTCTCCTCTGCATATACCCAATAAAATCAAGAACATATCTACACAAAGACTTGGATGTGGACACTCCTAGCAGCATTATCAACAATCTGAGTGTTTATTAACTGATGAGTGGATAACCAGATGTGGAATACTATACAATAAAATATTCAGTAATGAAAAAGAATGAAGTACTGATGCATGCTTCAACATGGATGAACCTTGAAAATATTATGCTAAGTGGAAGAAGCCAGTCACAAAAGACCATATATGATTCCATTTATATGTAATGTCCAGAATAGGCAAATCCTTAGAGCCAGAAAGTAGACTGATGGTTGCCTGGGGCTGGGAATGGGAACAGAAATTGAGTGCAAATGGGTGTGAAGGGACTTTTGGGGTTGATGGAATATTCTAAAACCAGACTGTGGTGATAGTTGCACAACTCTATACATTTGCTAAGTACCTCGGAACCATACATTTACAACAGGTGAATTTTTGGTATGTAGATTATACTTCAATCCAGCTATTAAAATTCCAAAAATTATAAATCCCCAAAAAAACACCTCCACAGAGCTTGAAATAATTAACTTCCTAAGAATATAGGCCAAATTTATTGCATGGCATCACACACACACACACATACCCCTAGCATATTGCCACATAAGACATACATAAACCTTGGTTTGATAATCATGGTTCTTAGGTGTTCTAAGCATCTGCTTATTCTTAGCATGTTTGGCAAAATAAAGAGATGCACTCAACTCATTAACAACATCCTAACAATCATACTGCCAAAGAGAAGGCTGAAGGAAAAGATAACTTCATAAAGCAAATAAATGGCCTTATGTCTTGGGTCATATAAAGATGGGCTAGCATAAAAAAAACCATAAAACAAAAAATCTGAAATGTATATAAAAAAACAAAAGAGAACAAACAAAAAACAAACAAAAAAGATGGACTGGCATCATGGTCTTTTTCTAACCTTATATTAACAGTGGTCAAACCTCATTATTTACCTTGCTGACATTTAAAAACAATTCATGGCAAGTTCAGTTATATTATAACGGGAGCAATTCCTCCCTATGTAATGCAATATGTAAATATTTATCACGCTAAAGTGTTAGTTTTTATTGATCAAATAGATCAATGACCATTTACATCCAACCATATTTCCCTCCCAAATCCAAACATATATTAAAAGTTAGCATATGGGAGCTAAACACTAGACACAAACATTTATTGGAATATTTTATTTACACTTTATATTTAAAGAGAATCAATACAAATCGGGACATATTTACAGCATTTCAAATCAGTGTACAAGAATGCAATGGTTCATCCATTCTACATTTAGCCAACAAAAATACATGTCTATTCTGCTTTTGCCTAAATTCTGCTGGAATTTGCACTGGAAACAACTCTAAAATCAAAGATAAGCCACAGAGAATACAAATAAAGTGCATTTTTAAATAGCTCTATTTAACTTTGGTGGATGAAGCTTCAAACTTTATATTAAGGCACCTGGAATTCCCCCCCCCCAATTCTTTTTCAAACACCAAGAAAATGCATTCACGAAATTTATAGCTACATGGACAGAATTTTAGTTTACCTAATGTTATTTTAGCCCATTGAGGTAAAATGTAAACTCATTTTTCAAAGTCAACATTGTTTGGACAACATTTTCTACAGACTAACTTCTGTAGAGAAGTTCATACACAAAGATCAATTATCAATTTTGGGGTGACTTATTCATAATCATTTTCAAGCAGTATGATGATTTATATACTCTGCTTTTGAAAATCCTCTAAGTTTGAGAAATAGTCATACAGCATTTTTGTTAGGAAAGTTTTTGTCTATAATCTTTTGTCAAATTGGTGTCACTAATATACCAATCAATCCAGTCCAGTCCATATTCTCTGATAAACTATGCTTGACACTCACATGAAGTACATTTAGCCTAATTTTAAAAACAAGAAATAGTTAAAATGAATATTTTGCTTTAACCTTGTTCTATCAACTTAATGTAGCTTAAATAGACATTTCATGAAGTACTAGCCTAAGTTTGCATTGCTTTTTACATTACAATTCCAGATCAATATAAGCACCTAGAGAAAAACCCTGACACATATAGCCCAAGCTAAAGTAGTAGTATTTTTAATTAAGATACTATCATAAAATAAAATGATTACAGCTACTCCACATTTTAAAAGCAACATGTTTTTATAAGAAAATTGTTATAAATGAAAAACATGACCACTTGATGAGAGTTTTGAATGTTTAAAAATGTTGCTACCACTATTGAGAGGAAACTTGCCTATGAAAAACATTATAATGAGTTTGTGGAAAAAAGTTAATAGGTTAAATATTTTAAGTCATTTAACTATAGCATAATATTAGTCATCTCAGCACTTTCAGTATCATTCTTATTTTATTAAGTTTATCCAGTTCATTAATAGTAAACTAGGCCCTGATTGGCAGTTCTGTTATCACTAAAGGTTCAAGTTTTCTATTGACACAGATTTTATGATTTAATTTCTCGAACAGCAGTCTCTTGATCAGGACTTTCATCTTCTTCAAAGGTTGGGTTGACAACATGAGGAACAACATCCACTGCAATGGAACTTGCTTCATGGTTTACCAGCTGCAGATTCTCATCTTTAAAAAGAAATGGCAATTTTAGGATGATTTTACCTCCTCTTCTTTAAGACAAAATTCAATAGGCATGTCTAAGAAGCCTTTCTTATCTAATTCCAACATACTCTGGTTAGCAACACATTCCCTGCTCCTTTAATAATTTTAGCATACCTAGTGCCCAGATCTTAGTTTCGAAGTACTGTTCTCCAATAAAAGCCCCCACACCCTGAAGAAATAACTGATTTTAGGGCGAAGGCAAGGAGAGTATAAGACTAACCTAGATTCTAGCCTAAGGGTCAGCAAACTACAGCCTGCAAGCCAAGTCCATAGCTAAGAGTGGTTTTCACATGTTTAAGAGGCTGTAAGATAAAACATCCCCTCCTACCCAAAAAAAGCAACAAAGATCTATGGCCTTCAAAGCCTAAAATATTTACTCTCTGGCCCTTTACAGAAAAAGTTTGCCAATCCCTGGCCTAGAACATCTTATGGTACCAGAAAGCAAGGATGTACTCAAAAAAAAAAGGATATATTTTCATGTATAATTGAAAAATTGTGCTCTACAATGGAATTTGACACAACATTGTAAAATGATTATAAATCAATAAAAAATGTTAAAAAAAAGGATGGGGCCTGTTGAAAGGAAACAAAACAACTTGAGGGAATTCCCAATGACTAAATCTAGGACAATCTAATCATCATGAAAATAATATTATGGAGTCAAAGAAATATCTATGAGTCTATACTATTATAAATGAATAATTGAATAAATAAATGGAGAAAGGGATAGCTCTTCCTTAAAATAGAAGCTTAATTAATGTAGAAAGAAGGATGGAAACAGAAAATCACCATTTGGCACACACTTCAGTAATAATTATTGCAAGCAAGAGGTATCAATGATTGTGAAAATTAATAGGTAAAAGTATGATGAGACAGGATGTTTGTATAGTCTTCAAGTGTCTCTCTATAAAATAATAATTGCAAAGGGAAAAATAATAACTTTAAAAGCAGAAGCTTGGCAGATACCACCTTCACTAAGTGAAGAAAGTTAAAATAATTAGTAATAAGACATGGAAATCATGTGCCTCATTATATGATATGAAGTAGAGAAGGGCACAACATAATTTCTGTGGTATTCTTGCTAGAAATAGACAATGGACAATTCATTTAGTCATTGGGAAACAGCAGACAATTCCAAATTGAGGGACATTCTACTAAATAACTGACTGGTGGCCTTCAGAAGTGTCAAGGTCAAGAAAGACAAAGACTAAGGAAGAGTCACAGACTGGAGACAAAAAAAGACAATTAAATGCAATGTGGACCTCTCAGCAGACTGGGTAAAGAAGGAACATACCCAAACATAGTAAAGGACAGATATGACAAACGCACAGCTAACATCATACTCAACAGGAACAAGACAAGAGTACCCACTCTCACCACTCATATTCAACATAGTACTGGGAGTCCCAGCCAGAGGAATTAGAAAGGAAAAGAAATAAAAGGCATCAAAATCAGAAAGGAAGAAGTAAAATTATCTATTTCCAGGTGACATGACCTTATATAGAGAAAATGCTAAAGATACCACCAAAAGATTGTTAAAACTAATAGATGAATTCACTGAAATTGCAGCTTACAAAATCAACATACAAAAATCAGCCACATCTCTATACACTAACAATGAAATATCTGAAAGAGAAATATAGGAAGCTATCCCATTTACAACAGCATCAAAAAGCAATAAAATATTTATGAGTAGATTTAACCAAGGAGATTAAAGATATGCACTGAAAACTGAAAGACATTGATAAAAGATACTGAAGACACAAATAAATGAAAAGATATCCCATGTTTGTGGATCACAAGAATTAATGTTATTAAAATGTCCATACTACCCCAAACCATATGTAGATTCAGCACAACCCCTATCAAAATTCCAATGACATTTTTTCACAGAAATAGAAAAAAAATTCTAAAATTCATATGAAACTACAAAAGACCCTGGATAGTCAAAGTAATCCTGAGAAAGAAGAACAAAGTGGGATGCATTGCACTTCCTGATTTAAAACTGTACTACAAAGCTATAGTAATCAACACAGTATGGTACTAGTGTAAAAACAGACACACAGATCAGTGGAACAGAACTGAGAGTTCAGAAATAAACTGATGTGTATGAGGTCAACTAATATTTGACAGGGGAGCCAAGAACACTCAATGGGGAAAAGACAGTCTTCAATAAATGGTGTTGGGTAAACTGGATAAATATACAACAGAATGAAATGGATCCCTCTTACACTACTTGCAAAAATGAACTCTATAAATGGATTAAGGACTTAAAACTAAGACCTGGAACCATAAAGCTCTTAGAAGAAAACATAGGGGAAAAGCTCCTTGACATTGGTCTTGGCAATCATTTTAAATATGACACCACAAAGCACAAGCAACAAAAGCAAAAATCAACAAATGGGACTACATCAAACTAAAAGCTTCTGCACAGCAAAGGAAATAATCAACAGAATGAAGAGACAAGCTACAAAATGGGGGAAAATATTTGCAAATTACATATCAGATAAGGGGCTAATATCCAAGATATATAAGGAACTCATACAACTCAATAGCAAAAACCCAAATAATCTGGTTTTAAAAAGGGCAGAACTGAGTAGATATTTTTCCAAAGAACACATACACATACAAATGACGAACAGGTACATGAAAAGATGCCGAACATAACTAATCATCAGAAAAATGCAAATCAAAACCACGAGATATCACCTCACACATGTTAGAATAGCTGTTATCAAAAAGACAAGAAATACATATTGGCAATGATGTGAAGAAAAGGAAAACCCCAATGCACTATTGGCGGGAATGTTAATTGGTATAGCTCTACATGTGTGGAGGTTCTCAAAAAATTAAAACTAGAACTACCATATCATCCAGCAATCCCACTTCTGTATATATATCTAAAGTAAATGAAATCACTATCTTGAAGAGATAATCTGCACCTCCAAGTTCACTGTAGCATTATTCACAAAAGCCAAGGCATAGAAGTAACCTAGGTGTCTGCTGGCTGATGAACAAATAAAGAAAATGTGATATATACACAGTGGAATAACATTTAGTTATGAGAAAGAATGAAATCCTGCCATTTGCAACAACACGGATGGACTTGAGGGCATTGTGCTAAGTGAAATAAACCAGAGAAAGACAAATAGTCTATGATCTCACTTATACGTAGAATCTAAAAAAAATGCCAAACTCATTTCTACAGAGGTAATAGTTTTGAATACTTTTTTAGTCAGGCCGAAATTATTTCGAAATTTAAAAAAAAGAAACAAACCTGTGCTTGGGCCCTGCATCTCACGGATTTTGATTTAAGTATTCTGAAGTGGAGTCCAGATATCAGCAATGTTTACAGTTTCTCTGAGTGATTCTAATGCGCAGCCAGGGTTAAGAAGTAGGGCCCTGATTCAATGGTTCTCAAAGTGTGGTCCCTGGACCAGCAGCATCAGTATCACCTGGAAACTTACTAGAAATGAAAATTCTCAGGTTCCACTCCAGACCTATTGAGTCAGAAACTGATTGTTTCCTCTCTGTTTTAACAGGCCCTCCCAGTGACTCAATGTATGCTTAAGTTTGAAAGCCAGTTGCTCTAATATAATTGAGCACAATGATGGAAAACATAGGTATGAAGTAATTAACTGTATGTTTACCAAACGTTATTTAAATCAACTATCACCAATAATCAATGGTTAATAGGCAAGACACCCGAACTACTAATATATAGTCATAGATAAAATTAAATCTTTCCTATGTAGTCATACATTCAACACTTATTTGAATGTCTACTATGTGGCAGTCTGTGCTAGGTGCTGGGTATACCAACAGTGAATAATAAGACACTGTCCCTACCCAAAGGGACTTTTAAAATTCAGTGCAATAAGTGCAATGGTAGAAGATCTATGGAAGCAGACAGTAGGGCCACACGTGTGAGTCAAGGGAGGCTTCTTAAAGTGGAGCAAGTTTTAAAGGAGGAACAGGATTTAGATTGGGCTTTTCCAAATTCTTGGGGGAGGAAGAGTGGAAAGAATGAGCAGAGAGAAGATAGCGGCTCAAGCTATGTCTGTTGAATTAAGGTTGGAAATTAGGGGATGGATTAGAGGAAAGATGATATTGAATCAATAGGAAAGAAGAGGGGGAAGAATTTATGACCTCCGTAGTTCCTGGTTTGAGGCACTTGGGAAGGTGTTACTACCATTCACACAGATACAGAATACAGGAAAAGGGATGTGGATCGTCATTTTATTTGCTTCTCAAATTCTCTGCAAAAAATTGTTCTGCCTCCTATCCTCTCCCACAAGAACAAAACACACAAAAAAGGAGGTTGGGACTTTTTAAAAAAACTGGCCTGGCAATGAAATGAATTACCCTGTACACTCACTCTCCTTTATCTTCACTAAATTCTATTACCACACAGTTACAAGAACAAAAAAAAATATCACCAGGGGCAAATAAACAACGATTATTTATTATAGGTAGACTAAGCCACCGATTATTAAGATTCCTATGACTACTCTGTACTCTTGGAAATGTCTGAAGATTAGATTACAATATGAGGTTTGCGTTTACATGATGGCATTCCTCGTGACATATGTAGAAATGGTATCTATGGCACTGATAAACCAACCGAGGATGAAGGTTTATGTCATAGGAAGCTGAAATTTTTACAAGTCATCTTGACATCTTGTTTTCCTACTTTTATGCCAGTATTAGGTTATCTCAAAATGAGGATCAAGAAAATAACTATCAAACCAACAACAACCATGAAGAAAAGGTGGAAGTTAAAGAAAGGGAAAGTAATTTGTATAGGAGTTTTCTCTAAAGAAAAAAGTAACAAAATTCCCTAAAATTTCTCTGCTGGTATGACATCACTAAGTTGCAAATACTGATTCACATGAATTTTGAAATCAATACATTCAACTTTAGTTTCCATGGTTTGTTCATTTCATGGCAAATAATCAACAGGTGGCAGCACATATCATTCTAAAACAGTTTCCCATCTGTGCCAAACATGGGTTCTGAACAAGTTGTGTATAGATCAAGGTTTTGAAAACTGAATTCTACTTTATCATGCCAGGACTGCTTTATCTTAATTTATTTATCCTAATTTCTGATTGATCTGCAATAAACAATGGCTTCTAAAGTTTAAAGTATCTCCTTAGCCTCTGTAAATTAATAAGCCACCACTTAAATGCACTGGTGAGAAGCTTTCCAATAAAAAACCTTTTTCTTCTATGAATAATCCTCACTCTTGAAGCATTTCATCTATTTCAGGTATATTTGAATATGTACATATTAAGTTAAGGTAGGGGTGCCTCCTGCACTACCTCACTCTTACTAGAAAAAAAAAACCTGGAATGTGTTAATGGATGAATGGAACAAATGTCAAAAAACTGGAGTACTTTGCCGGCGGTATAACTCACAATGGATCATTTGTGGGGCGCTTGTTGCCCCTCAGCGTGGTGCTTACTTGCTGACTGCACATGTTCCTCCAAAGGTGGTTCATCTGCTCCCTGAACTGAAGCATAACCAGACGATGCAGTCTCACTGCGATTATCCTCTTCGTGAGGAGAGGCACTATTGGATGTTTCACTGGATACAGGGACTTGTAAAGACACTGATCCATCTTCAACATCCACCTGTGGAAAGCATTTGAACGCATTAAGAGGCTCTCAGAATCCATATGCTTCTTTGACATATCATTACAAAGTTTCTTCACAGGTGACTTATTAGAGCAATGCTTCTTAACCTTTTAAACCTATAACCCTCTCCCTCCTTTATATTGAAGTTTAGTTGATTTACAATGTCGTGTCAGTTTCAGGTGTACAGCAAAGTGATTCAGTGATTCAGTGATTCAATTTATATACACATAAATTATTTTTCAGATTCTTTCCCATTATAGGTTATTACAAGATACTGAATATAGTTCCCTGTGCTATACAGTAGGTCCTTGTTTATAATCCCTTTTGATGATTACAAAAATTTCTTGCTGGCCCCAGCCAAGGCAACTGGAAGAACTGGGTCCAATGGGGTGAAAGATGTTACAGGTAGATTGACTTCACATCTGACATGTTCATCTGGGTGATCCCAACACTTTATAATATAATGCCTGGTACAAGGTGGGCACTCAAAAAAAAAATTCTTATGCTGTCCCCGAGGGGAATTGGGGATCACCATCATCTATATATCTCCTCAAGTCAGGAAGATTTTTGTTGAGCTTGACTTTCTGTTGTGTATTGTGAAATAGGCAGTGTTTATTTACCAAATACACTACAATTCAATATTTATCATGCTTTCTCAAACTTTACATGCTCATTTAACTACTTGTTTGGTTGCTAAGAGTGAAAAAGAGCAAGGAGTATCAGAAGTCAGTTCAGGTCATCACTTCACATTCTGACCAAATAATAAGTACATTTGAAGAGAAGAAAGAAGGAAAATGGAGGTGGTCCAACATGGCACCTCACTGTCACTGTGATGTAAGTCGGTCCAATTTCTGTCATAAACTGCAAGTCTATCACATTACATAGCTAAAAAATATGAATGTTGTTTTCCTGAAGGCCCAGGTATATAAATAACACACCACTTAAGTTCCTTCATATAAATAGTTCAGCAACGTTTACCTCAATTCCCAAAGCTTTGAGTATGTCACATTTGCACATGGGGCAAGTCCTGTGTTCTAACAGCCATGGGTCAACACATGTCTTATGGAAAATATGGCTAATGAAGGAAAAAAAATTGGTTATCAGTTGTGAAATAGCAACAACACTTTGCCTAAAATACTAAGAGGTTAGCCCTATAATTTTACTTAGTCTTTTAACTTATGTATTTTCCCCCTTTTAAACACACTATTACAGCATAAATCCTAAGAAGGAGCCACAGAAACAAAATTTGGAAACTTCATAATACAGTACTCCCAAATATAAAAGCCTCATTACCCTAGCTTCATAAAAATTATTTTCAATACTACTTACTTGAAAAACGGCTAAGAAGCTATCTGACCTAAGACTTTGTTCAGTAATTCAGATCTTCATTATCTTTTTATTCCCTAGAAGTTAGTCATTCTCAATAATATAGTACAACTAAGTATCAAGTGCAACATAATTCCGATACATTAGGCAATGTGAGAAGTTCTGAGAATGCCACCATTTAATAGCTAAAAGGAAGAGACAACTTCCAGGAGAGGGACAATAAGAAACCAAAGAATGAAGACTTCCAAATAGGTACTCATATGTTGATTTTATTTTTTTCTCAATAGGATTGTCAGAATTATTTTGAATTAAATAATCCAGTACCATACACACACCCACCCTCCACCCCCTCCCCAAAACACAAATAACCAAATAAATAGTGGTGCTGGCTAGGCTCTCAGTTATTTATGGAACTAGCTTCCAAACTGTACCAGATTATGGAAACTTTATATAATTAGCCTTATTCCAATGCCAGTGATATTAAAAATAAAGCATTTACCTATATTTTAATGAAAATAAGTTAAAAAAATAAACACCTTCTTTATATCACATTGGAAACATCCAAAATAGTTTCCCCCAGTGCAACCATTTTTGTAAATCAGCTAGTCTTATTAATGACATAAAAGAAAATCAAACTTACTTGCAGGTTAGGATGCGCACCAAATCATTTGGTTTATATAGTTCAATACACACAGCGCAACTATCTCCATCAGGGCCAATTTCCTATGAGCAAACAGTTACTGTTAGTCTGATGGATAAGAGAAAATACATTAGACTAGAGAGCAAGATCAGAATATACATGTATTTAAATTGCATCAATTCCTACAGAAGGAGGAGCAGGACATCACTAAACTGACTGTTTCAGTAAGTGATTTAAAATTATTTAGACTTAATTGGAATCTTAAAAAAAGTCAAACTTACAGAAACAGAGAGTAGAAAAGTAGTTGCCAGGGGTAAGGGATGGGGAAACAGGGAGAAGTTAGTAAAAGGGTATAAACTTTCAGCTATAAGATGAATAGGGTCTGAGAATCTAATGTAAAACACAGTGACTATAGATGATAACACTCTATTACGTAATTGAAATTGGAAAATCAAATGCAATATTTAGACTTTAAAAAGTAAAAGAATAAAGTCAACCAAAGAGGAACAGTACAAAGGGAAACATGTAGCACTGATTTAAACCTTTTCCTGGTTTCAGAATTCACACGATGCTGTAAGGTCTATGGCTATGTTTTTCCATCAAAAAAAAGTAAGATATAATTCACATGCAGTAAAATTCACTGGAATGTTGAGTATACAGTTTTGCAAGTTTGCACAAACACGCAGTTGCTTATTCCCCACCACAATCAAGATATAGGATACTCCTATTACCCCTATTATAGAGGACAGTCCTCTATACCTTTTTGTTGTTAACCCCTCCTTTCACCCCCATCCTCCAGCAACCA